TATCGTACTTGTAGTGCCATTGGGTTTTCTTAGATCTTTTCGGGTATCTAAAGCACACTTTCTTGCATCTATTAGAACAAAACATGAAATGTCATGGACATCAGACAGTGTAATCCGATGCACTGAGCATGAGCCAACCTATGAGGAGGAAGAACCAGAGGACCATCTTACTCAGCAGTAGTTCGATGATGAGTTACAAAAGGATATAACAGTGATGCTTACTTAGGAGGAGTTTGATGAGGATGGTGCTGAGAGGAACGCAGAGGAAGGGGGAGCAGAGGACAGAGAAGGAGAGGATGATGATGATGATGTTGAAGACAACGACGATGAGGATGAAGAAGAGGGGTATGAAAGTCCTAGGGATCCTTTCCCACGTGAAGCCAGACGAAGGCTAACGGAGGAGGAGCTGGACAAGGATTTTGACCCGAACGATGAGGTAGCGATAAAGCCTTAGCTTGTAAATTTTGCTAAAGCTTTGACTATGTTATAATTACTAACATTTTGACCTCCCGTACATATAGGCCCCTCCCGAAACTCAGAAAAGACAATGTCGACGTCCGCGATATCTCACCAGACAAGACAGAGTAGAGGAAAGGAGAGCAGAGGCAACAGTCACAAATATAGACATTGAGGCCTCTGCTCCACAACCTCACGACACGACCATGAACTCGGCTCCCAAGCCGAAGAGGAAACGGGGGGATAGAAAAGTGAACCAATATCCAGATAAGGTATGCTATGTGATAACGGAGGTCGGGCCAGCAGGAGAGATACTTGAGCCTAAGGAATTCATAGGATGATTCCGTAATGTAATCGGGGCCCTAGTAAGAGATCAATTGAACCTAGCAATCCCTAGCTGAAAAGATGTACCAATGAAGAAAAAGGGAGAACTATGGGATAAGAAGCTGAAGCTTAATTTTAGATTTCCGGAGGGTAAGCATGAACTAGTGAAACTTTATGCTTTTAAGATAATGGGAGAGTCATTCCAATGTTGGAGGTTGGAGCTGAACAAGAAGTATATGCAAAAGGGGTTAACTCCCTTCCATGAGTTCGGTAACATAACTCCTAGTCAATGGGAGGAGCTCATGGCTCAGAAGACTACACCTGAAGCATTGACCCTCAGTGCCCATAACACCGAGCTAGCGAAGAGGAACCAACACCACCATCATCTAGGTCTCGGTGGCTACTATGGCAAGAAAGAGAAGTTTAGGAAGATGGAGGAAGAGGCCGCCGCATCTAGGAAATTAAACTTGAAGTGGTTGAAGCTACGCTCAAGGAATTAGATCCTTGGGAGGAGTACAGATGCATCCAGCACTTCCCTTAAGTTTGATAACCCAGCAATCGAAGAGGCAGTATCAAAGTACTAAAATATGTTGAAGACAAGGAGAAGGGCTCATTCGAGCCTTTCTAGAGAGAGGGACAAGCTTAGCCTTGCCTTGGGAAATTCTGAGCTCACAGGCCGCACTAGGGGGTTAGGGAAAAGAACGACCTAGAAACACAGATTCAAAGAGGACCAACACATGTACAAGAAACATGGTAGAGACCGAGAGTCTAATCTTGAGCTCACCGTGAAGGCTCTAGTTGCGAAGGTGCTAGAGGAGCAAGGACTATCTATGGAGCCAAGGACAGTAATGGCGCCGCCTAGAGAACTGGCAGTAGTTGGCAGCCCTCCAGAAGTTCCTAGCAGCCAAGGTTCCACTGCAGCCACAACCTCCATCGATCGCATACGGGAACCAACTACTTGCACCTTGGTGGTTCTCATCGGTAGGCAGAACACTATGATGGAGGTGGCAACGGGTGTGGCACATCCTCCTGGCGGCTTGCATCACAATAATAAGATCTTGCCGGACTATACTAGGGTTGAGGTGCATACCGTGAAGTCCAAGTTCATGCAGTGGCGCATAGACTACCCAACTCTCGATGGACAACAGTTACTCGGAGAAGTAATGAACCAGTTCATCCTCTGGCACAAACAGTACATTGTATTGACTGCTTCTTCGCCGCCTATTCAACATTTGGAGGGAGTTGTTGAGGAGAGGGAGGTACTTCTACCGTCTCATGACCACCACTTGCCTGAGCTACCACATTCTTCTCCGCCTCCCAGGGAGCACGAGCATGAGATGCCACAATCTTTCCCACCTCCTAACGAGCATGTACCTGAGATGCCACAACCTTCTCCGCCTCGTAAGGAGCAAGGGCCTGATACAGACCTGATACATGAACAACAAGGGCCTCCTGAAGAAGTTCATGCACAAGAGGGTTGGGATAAGGAGCAAAAAATTCGAAAATTGCATCCAATCACTATAAGGCCAATTTTTAAGTCGATGAGAGACGTCACTTCGATGGCCAAGTGGTACGCCCTTGACCAGTTCAAGCCTGAGAACCAAGTTAAAGAAATCCCAGTACGGGCTTCTGAGGAGGCCATCACCAGCAAACAACAACCGGCAAAGAAGTATCCAAATGTTTATACCATCAAATGGTAAAATGATTGATCGAAAACATATGAAAGAGGAAAGTCTTTCCTACCAAACCGGGACATCCAGCGCCTACCACTTGGAATGAGAAGGTTCCATGATTGGTACTTGCGTGTTCTCCCAACGACCATAGATCTCATACAAGCATGCTTCCCTGCCGGCACATTTAGAGGCCCAGCCGGGAAAATTATCTTTGACTTTAATGACATGCAGACATGCTTTCACCTCGGAGCAATGGAAACGAATCTAATTCGCACATGGTGCCTATAAGTCCTTGCCCTGTTGATATGATATTATTGTAATCTTTGGATTTGGTTGATACTAACCCACGCCGTGATTTATAGAATGCAAGTGCACCTTTCAAAACAAATGCCAAGCGTGCGAGCCTGGTACATAGACTCTCAATGTAGAGCATCAACATGTTTTAACTACGCCAAGGACTGGAAATTGGATTGCAAAGAGCTAGCTGCTGGAGAGACTATTGCAGAGAAAGAGGCAATCCGGAAGAAGAAAATACGTGCAACGGCCCTTAGGTTTGCGGCATACATTGCCCTAGCTTTTAAATATCTCCAAAATAACTCTGCTATATGGCTACCATACAACTTCGAGTAAGTTTAACTCTATACTGAAAAGCTTTGTTCGATGCAAAAGAGCTTATCCGTTTTTATGATTAAATTCATGCAGCAACCACTAGATTTGTATAGGCATCGATGTTGGCATGGGCATGGTGTGGGTCTATGATTCAATAGATAAGAACCCGACGACATACAAAGACTTCATATCGATTCTCAAGACGTGTACATATCGACATTCCTCATTACCTTATATGTTTGTATATATACTTGTAACATTCACTTTTGAATACTAACAAGTTGCATTTATTAAATTCATTCGAACAGGGTGTACAGGTTCTATGTTAATGAACATAAAGGGAGGCATGATCTAAAAAGAGGGCCCGACCTGTGAGTCAAAACACTATGTGCGGTAAGTGTAATTTACCTCAGTACTCCATTATGTTGGTGTCAAGAGCATTACTTAACATTTTCATATGTGAAACACATAGTACCCCAAGCAGAAGCCCGGGAGTCTTCACTGTGGATACTATGTATGCACTATGATGAGTAACACCGGTGCCTACATGAGACAGCCCTGTAGGGTAAGTTTGAACCTCTTCAACATTGTTAATTGTGATTACTGCAATGTTAACTTCAAAACCAGCGCCATGTTCATAGATGCTCACTGTTTTTATAGATGTTCGCATATGTTATGACATACTAAACCCCAACTTGTTTTATTGTAGTAGCAAGATGAGAAAGGAATAAGAGCTGACCCACACAAAGATGACAACCTCTTGGAGCTCGTTGGCGACCTTTGCAACTTCATATTGGACCAGATTATACACGTAAAAGGAACTTATCATGATCGAAAATCTGAGTTAGAAAGGCATCATCAGTACCAACATCTTCATGAGACGGAAAGGTTAGCTCTAGGCCGTTGATAACAATGTGTATGGAATGTGGCATTGGTCTTACCTTGTGGAACGGTTTCGAATTGTGGAACGGATTGGACTTGTGAATTATGTCTATGTAAAGATGAATTATATATGTTCTTGTGAATTGGACTTGTAATGTTAGTTTATATAATATTCTTGTGCTTGTGGATACAATGTTTGAATTACATATGCATATATCTATATGTTTCGGTCAGATTTGAAATTTGAAATTTGATTTTTTTACGGGAAAATATATTGTAGGGGCGGTTCAATTTCAAATATTTTTGGCAGAAAAACGTACGGTAGGGGCGGTTCTAAATTGAACCGCACCTACAAATAGCAATTATAGGACAACTGAGCCGTCCCTATAAATCATTTTTGTAGAGACGACTGGTGCGCTACAAATATAGTTGTAGGGACCGTTGTTGACACAAGTTGCCTCTACAAATCTATTTGTAGGGACGGCTTGAGAACCGCCCCTACAAACCCTTGATTTGTAGAGACGGTGTGGTAGGGGCGGCTGGCAAAACCGTCTCTACAAACCATCGCCAGCCGCCCCTACAAATGTTTACTATAGTAGTGGATAATGCAGGTTATGGGAGTCTAAGGTTGAAGATAATCCTAATAAGGTCATCTTTAGATTTTCTTTTTGGGCCTAAAAGAAGACACATGCAATATAGCAATTGCTTTAAATTTCACCTCAATCTTGCTGACCATAAATCCATGAATTTGAATCTATATCTACACGTAAAAACTCCCCACATGCTCATGGAGAGAGAGAGAGAGAGGATACCTCTGCACCTCTCGTTGCCGGCCAGCTAAAACGGGATCACGGAGAGGCCGTTCCAAGCGTAACGTGCCTGATGTCTCAACTCCCGCGCAAACCGGCTTTCTCTCTCTAGCCCACCACCTCACCGCCTCCTCTCTTTCTCTCTCTTGCTCTGCATGCCTCCTCAGCCATCCGTGCGAACAAACAACCACTGACCTCGCCATTGCTCATTCCTCCCCCCTTCCACCCGGTCGGCCACCCACCGGAGATGGACAGCCGGAGCCAAGCGCCCTACAAGTCCAGCAGCTTCTCGCCGGCGACCACCCGCGACGACGGCGGCAGCAGGACCCGGGAGGTCGACCGCAACTTCTCCCTGGGCACCCTCCGCGACAAGAGGGACGTTCCGCACGGCGGCTCCAGGGAGCAGTCCATCAAGGAGGAGGACGAGCAAGAGGAGGGTGACCATGGGGCGCGAGGAGGCGGCGGCGGCGAGGGTCCGGGCTCGGGGGCAGGGGGAGGCGGCGAGCCGGACCTCGCCGCGCTGTCGGCGGAGGTCGATGCGTTCCTCGCAGGCAAGGACGAGGACGCGCCGGTGAGCGTCACGGAGGCGACGCTGGAGAGGTTCGCCTCCGCCGTCGAGCTGCTGGTCGCCAGGTCCGAGGGCGTCGAGGACAAGTGGGCCGCGGAGGCCGGTGGCGAGCCTTCGGCGCTGCTCGCCGCGATCACGCGCATCGCGGCGCTCTCGTCCGCGCTCGGCAAGAGCCCCGAGGGCGGCGGCAAGCACGCTGCCGCCGTGAACCGCGTCACCGCCGTGCTGCACCGGGCCATGGCGTTCCTCGAGGAAGAGTTCCACGGGCTGCTCGAGGACCCGCGCGTCCCCAAGACGGGGGGCGGCGAGCAGGGCGGCGCGCACGAGCCCGACCGGTGCGTCCTCGCACCTCCGCCGGCGTCTGACGGCGGCGCCGGGAAGGAGTCCGCGCCTCCGTACCCGGTGGAGACTGTGGACCGGCTCCGCGCCATGGCCGACACCATGGTGGCCGCCGGGTACGTGACGGAGTGCTCGCAGATGTTCCTGGTGGCGCGGCGGAACGCGTTCGACGCGACGCTGCAGGGGCTGGGCTACGAGAAGTCCAACATCGACGACGTGGTGAAGATGACGTGGGAGGCGCTGGAGGCGGTGATCGTGACGTGGACCAAGGCGTTCCGGCACGCCATCAACGTCGGGCTGTCCACGGAGCACGACCTGTGCACCCGCGTCTTCGCGGGGCGCCACGCCGCCGTGGGGCGCGGCATCTTCGCGGACCTGTCCCGCTGCGTGATGCTGCACATGCTCAGCTTCACGGAGGCCGTGGCCATGACCAAGCGCGCCGCGGAGAAGCTGTTCAAGGTGCTGGACATGTACGAGGCGGTCCGCGACGCGTCCCCGGTCATCGAGGCCTTCCTGTCCGCCGACGAGCCGGCCGCCGCCGAGCACCACAGCCATCACTCGGGGCTGGCGGAGCTCAAGTCCGAGATCGCCGCCGTGCGGTCCCGGCTCGGCGAGTCCGCCGCCGCCATCTTCCGCGAGCTGGAGAGCTCGATCCGCGCCGACGCCGGGAAGCAGCCGGTGCCCGGCGGCGCAGTGCACCCGCTGACCCGCTACGTGATGAACTACCTCAAGTACGCGTGCGAGTACAACAGCACGCTGGAGCAGGTGTTCCGCGAGCACCACCACGGCAATGGAGACGACAGCAACCCGTTCTCGGCGCAGCTGATGGAGGTGATGGAGCTGCTGCACGGCAACCTGGAGACCAAGTCGCGGCTGTACAAGGACCCGTCGCTGAGCAACATCTTCCTGATGAACAACGGGCGGTACATGCTGCAGAAGATCCGCGGGTCGCCGGAGACGAACGCGATGCTGGGCGAGGCGTGGGCGCGGAAGCAGTCCACCAACCTGCGGCAGTACCACAAGAACTACCAGCGGGAAGCGTGGAGCCGCGTACTGGGGCTGCTCCGCGACGACGGCGTGCTGACGGTGAAGGGGCACGTGCAGAAGCCGGTGCTCAAGGAGCGGTTCAAGCAGTTCAACGCCGCCATGGACGAGATCCACCGGACGCAGGGCGCGTGGGTGGTGAGCGACGAGCAGCTGCAGTCGGAGCTGCGCGTCTCCATCGCCGCCGTCGTCGTGCCGGCCTACCGCTCCTTCCTCGGCCGGTTCGCGCAGAACTTCAGCGCCGGGAGGCAGACGGAGAAGTACGTCAAGCTCAGCGCCGAGGACGTGGAGACCATTATCGACGAGCTCTTCGACGGTAACGCCACGTCCATGACCAGGAGGAGGACATGACAATAATAACAACACTATAGCTTGTTGCTTGACAGCGCCACGTCCATTGGTCGGTCCAGCTAATCCATTCATTATCGATTTGAGCAAAGCAATGTATTGTTCTTTTTTTTTCCTCTTCAAAAATCTTCTTTTTATTTGTCTTCTTCTTCTGTTAATTAAAAACGTTACTGTACTAATTTGGTCCAACATTTGATCGATGTACTAAGAACTGTACTTACTACACTACTTCTCTCAGGAGTCAGGGCAGCTAGATGACCGTTTCTGCAATTCGTACCCATCCCATTCCCATGTATTGCCTGATGACATTTTAAACCTGTTCTTCCAAATGTAATGTTGCAGTCGTTGCAGCTAGATGAATTCAGTTCAGACGAAATCACATCAGAAATATATCGATAAATAAACAACTAATGTCTACGTCCAATCCAAATCTTTTATTCAAGCTCACTGATTTGATCTCTATTCTTCAGCCTGAACCACAACCGAGTTTGTTGTAGACCTTGTGACGTCCCTCCACCGGGACTCCATGTAGTGCGAGGGGTGCGTGTACACCCCAAACTTGAAGTAGTGGTGGTACCCGCCATGTCCCGCGACGGTGAGCCGCTCCTCGCCATTGACGAACACGGTGAGCGCCCCCGCGCCGACGTCGTGCACCACGTTGAGCTAGAACCAGCGGTCGTAGATGGATGCGTCGACAACGCGCGCCTCATTGTGGTAGTACATGAGCCGGCCGCCGTACACGTGCAGCATCAGCGTTGTGTTCCACCCCGACGCGCCGAACACCTGCATCTCCGACATGCCGGAGGTCCCCGCTGGCACGTACCCGTAGCCCTTGAACTGCCACACCCCCGTCGTGTGCCTCACCTGCACGTAGCAATGACAAACCAAAAAGAAATTGAAACGATTAGCAACGACGACAGCTCACTACTGGTAATCATAGGATAGGATTAGCAACATGATTAGCGTTGAGCATGAAGATTAGTGATGTTGTTGGCTTAATTTAATTAGGAGGTATATACGTTTAGGAGGATCTCGGAGCGCGGCTTGGTGGGGCTGCCGTGGCTGAAGGGCTTGTCGGTGCTGTACACCCACATCCGTCGCACATCGTCACGGAACTCGTACCGCTGCTCCGGCGGCAGGTCGTACGGGTGGTGCAGCTTGAACCGGTCCTCAGTGAGGTTGACGGCGATGAAGCCCAGGGTCGGGTCAACGCCGGCGGAGCACTGGCCGCACCACGATACCAAGATGATGAACAGGAGTAGAGGCCATGGCAAGGAGGAAGCAGGAGCCACAGCCATTTGCTCGTGGGGATGATGGCCTTTTTTTCGAGTTCAATTCACTAACACAAATTCTGATGAACAGGTTTGCTGTGTATATATATAAGATGCTGCTATGCTGGTTTGTGTGAACAGTTTCCTTAGATAATTCCTATGAACGGCCGGCTTCGAAGTTAATGAACTATTGGTCAGCAAAAGTAATTAACGCTGACGCCACTGTCTTTGCCGTAGCTGCTTCTGAATATTCAGATTTTTAGCCTGCAAAGATATGAGCTGGTTCTTTTGTCAGTTCACCTGCCGCCTGCAATCTTTTGTTGTTTTTGCTCGCAAGTCCTCGTGACAACTGAAACACCAAAGAGGCAATTTCGGCATATATATTTAACTACTAGCACAGCTACTCAGGAAGGATTAAAATGGTATGAAAGAGTAAAGTTCAAAAAAATATTGGAAGAAAATACCTATATCCTGAGGGCCTGATTGATTGGTAGCTAAATTTTAGTTGCCAAAACTTGGACAAGCCAAATTTCTGACCTCTATTTGGTTGGTTACCAAAATTTACAATTACCTCACATTTAGCTTGCCAAATCTATGGTAAATATATTTGTCCAACTTTTGGCAATTTTTTATTGCCAAATCATTGGCTTATTAGCAAATTTTAGAAGCCAACCAAACAGACCCTACTTTTAATTAGTGACGAATGGGAAAAATAGAAAAACTAGAATCTTTCAATTGGAACAAGTGGACGGTATAATAAGTGGTAATGTTGGGGCTTAATTAAAAAGTATATCACCAAATACTGCAAGAGCGTGTTTACTGTTTAGAGCTCCTAAACTTTCTTTTGTGACAAAGGATGAGACTTGTGTAGAAGATATTCATCATGTTATAGCCGCAGAAAATGAAATCCTAACATAAAACTTCTTGGATGCTGAAGTTAAGGACACTACTTTTCAAATGAACCATAATTCAGCACATCGAATTTGTCTGTAATAACATGCCTCATCATATGTCTTTATCTATTAAACATCGAATTAATTTGTGGTAGAATTACATCACATCGCTCTAACGTATCCGTCTAACAACCGTACCGATAAATGGAAGGAATCTACCTCATTTCGCAGCAAATAAAGACAAACCGCGTACACTCATGCAGATAACTGCTCCATATATATTCCATCTACTAGCAGTAGCTACTTTGGATTGGACTTGCGTGCCATGTTAACCACGTGGTGAAAACGCTGCGCGTCACAGGTGACCTTGAGCACCCCCTGCTGGCCGTACCCGAACTGTTCCTCGGCCGTCTCCAGCAACGCAGCCATGCACGGCTCCTTGAGGTCGCTCACACGCACCAACACCCTCGTCCCTCCTGCACCACCCTCCTCGTCGTCGTCGTCGCGGACCAGCACTAGGGGGTATCCTTTCGGAACCCTGATCTTCCTCTGCTTGTCGTCGTCGCGAGTGACACCGGCGGCGGGCACACAGCTCGCCGAGAAGGCCTTGTTCGAGCTCATCGCCTTCCTTGTCGTCGTTGTTTCTGTTACACTGTATATGTGTTGCGGAATTGGCTAGCTGTGTTTCTTATGACTTGATCGATGCTCAAACTTGGTGATGAACTGATGATGGACAAGAGATGCAATGCAGTGCAGGGGGTTATATAGCAAGTGTTGGAGGGTCAGCGAAATATGACTTTTTCCAGATCAGTAGACAGACGTGCTTTGTGATTGGGCATAGTGAGTGTGACCGGCCGGCCTGTACTTATACATTTCTACTATAAGGGATCAATCAAAATTGTACTAGGTCCTTTCAGGAAAAAGTCCCCCGCTGAGAAGTCCAACCACTGTGCACCAACCCTATTGTACCTAGTAAATCGTCTTCATTAAAATCAAAGCTCAAACCCACCCCTCAGAGGCTTCGACGCAATCCTACGGCCACGGTTCTTTGGATCAACAGCGATGATGAGGCTTCAACGCACGGAGCCGCAGAGGCTTCAACGCGTTCAACACACAGCGAACCGCGTTCGAAACCTGGTGTCGCCGAAAAAAAAAACACCGTAACCTGCTGTCGCCGAAGAAAAGGAAGGAAACCAGCGAGGGCGCCGCCACGATCTCCGTGCCCTGCTCAACGCCCACAGGTGCTGAGCGTACCGCCGCTCGCAAGCCACAACCCCCGCGCCGCCACGATCTCCGCGCCCTCAGCACTTGCTCGGCTGGTGCCTCCACCGCGACGGGAAGAATCGCTGCCGTACCCACATCGCAGAGACCGGGCCTCGAACGAGCACCGCCTCCGCCACGAAGGGCAGAATCGCGGCCGTAGCCACATCGCCGGCACCACGCCGGTCGCAGTCCAAAGCCCCCGCGCCGCGATCGCGGCGCCCTCAAGCGCGGCGCCGTCAGCACTTGATCGGCGGCTGCAACTAGGGCCTGGAGCGACCACAACAGGTGCTGGCGGCCGGTCACATCGCCGGCGCCGCGCGGCTCGCAGGCCACAATCCACGCGCCGCCACGATCTCTTCATCACCACCTGACGCCACCACACGTCAAGGAGATCTCTCAGTTGGAGACTCTTCGAGTTCGAGGTCGGTTGACTTTCTAGCTTTTGATTTCCAGCCATGCCCACACATGGATTCGAAACTTTGAATTTGGTTGCCTGAGGATGACATACATGCAAGTTGCTTCAGGTCACCAGTCCAGTATATATTGCCTACGACGAGGAAGCGTCGCGGAGGAGGCCACGCCTGTTAGAAGACTTGCAGGTTAGCATGCTTCAGGTGATTTGTTCTTATTTTTTGTCTGTTGACAAACAGGAGAGGAAATTTATTTATATAGAGACCAAAGCTGTATACAGAGAAAAGCTTTCTTTGTTACAGATGCTTTTGTATTATTAATTGATTAATTTGTTAGTTACATGCCCAATTAGCTTTGGACTTGATGTGGCCCGTACCATTAGCAGTGTCATTAATCTTTGTTTCATAAAAAAAACATTCAGCAAAAATGATAGATGCCATCACAGGTAGTTGACAATGTCTACACCAAAAGATACACGCACTGCGCTAGGCGATATCACCAACAACCACGTCACAGGTATGCTTTAGATTTTTGACATGTATACAACAGTGCAATCAAATACTTAATTCAATATGTTGCTGATTTCCTATATGTATGTTGGCTACTCTAGACAATGCCAAGCGTAAAAGGGAGGAAAGGAACGCGGCGCAACGAAAACGTCGAGCTGAGATGTCCATTGAACAAAGGGAAGAGATTAATAGGAAACAACGAGAGTACCGAGCACAGAAAAAGGCCGCAACCCAAAATATTACCACTTCCTGTGTTGTGTCTCCAACAGAGCTAACATCGTCACCCATAGTAGGTGCGTATTCTCGGCGATGCTAATATTTACACCTTCGGCTATCATTCACTCTGAAACTCTGTTCACATGTGAAGGTGCGACATCAACCCTAACTGAGCACACACCATTTGGAACTGCTTTCTCTGCCATTGTGCAAGCACCGAGCATAGAGAATGATGAAAATGTCCATCTAGATGAGCCCACAGAATGGCTACATAGAAATGATAATTACGAACGTCGGAGTGGCAGCGCAGATACATTTCGTTCGGTACCAGCTATATGCACAAAAGGAGCCTCAGCCAGTGCATCTCAAGGTACAACACATTAGTTTTGTTCCCAACCTCACTATAAGTTTGTTTAATACTTTAAAATGGAAAGTACACAAATTAAATAAATTATACTGTGACCTTCAGGTGGTTCATCCAGTAGGGATAAGCTGCTAAGAAATAGGAAAAGATATAACAATATGGATGCACAAAAGAAGGAGGACTTGCTACAACGGAATCGGGACTACAAGATGCATAGAGCAATGACAGGTCAGCACGGGAACCACATAATTTCTCTGAAATGTAACACATTTCGATAGCTACTGGAGTTTGCATATAATAAGGTGTTATTTTAATTTACAGATGATAATTTGCCTGGGCCACGCCACAACCATGTACAAGGTAACACATTTCGATAGCTACTGGAGTTTGCATATAATAAGGTGTTATTTTAATTTACAGATGATAATTTGCCTGGGCCACGCCACAACCATGTACAAGGTGAAACCAATGAAGATGAATTTGACCGTGAATTATTCGAACCTACAAATTTTGTTGAAGATGGTGAAGAAGATGACATGAACGCCGCCCAGGGATTGCCCAACGAAAACTTATATGCTCATGATGATGGAATAATTCAGCTACATCCGAGAGGTACTACGACTTCATAATATATACGTCATGTCAAAAAAACCAGCTTATATATGTTTTTATATAATATTTACATCATCACATATAATGTTTCCAGCGCAACTAATATGATTACTATAATGTTTCCCATGTAGGTCCTAATTATGAGTCATATCGCGTGCTTGTAGAGGGTGTGGCTGCACATAGTGTGAGAGATGATCCATATGAATTCATCTACCAGAACCTGCCACAAAGACATAGGTTGAGAAATGTCCTTGACTGCCATTACTGTGGTGCGATGAGGTTTCAGTATGAGCCACCCGGGTTTTGTTGTAGAAAAGGAAAAATAAAAATACATATACCGGAGGTTCCTAAAGAGCTAAAAAGGTTGTTTACAAGTCAAGTGCATGATGATGCAAAATATTTCAGGCAACATATACGATATCTCAACTCGCATTTCGCATTCGCAAGCCTAGGGGTTACCCTTGACCGCAGATATAACACTCCAGTAGGGACTGGTATTTATACATTTCGAGTTCATGGCGGGTTGTACCATCGTCTAGATCACCTGGTGCCAGGTGGCCACGGCCCTCGGCATCTGCAGCTCTACTTTTATGATACAGAAGATGAGGCCTTGTCACACAGAGTCAAAAGGTCCCCTGATCTTGATATCAACCTCATCCGAAATATCCTTACAACTTTGCAGGATAACCCATATGTTCATACTTTTAGGAGAAATGGTACTTTTCCAAACTTGGATGACTATCGGATTGAACTCAATACAAATGTCACGCCTGACCAGAGAAGGTACAATGCCCCAACAGCAGCCCAAGTTGCTGCTATCTGGATGGAGGGGAACGATCCATAGAGTTGTTTTGATAGGAGTGTGGTTGTATATGGAAGGACGGATTATCGTCCGCAATATATCCGAGCATACCATGGTTGTTATGACCCATTAGCTTATCCTCTATACAACCCACGAGGGAAACAGGATGGAACAAGTTTATGCCGTACAGTGCTGAACCAGTCACTCAACCATCTGTAACCCGGCTTCTACTAATGTTAATTACAGGGATGAGGGAACTACTGGTGCTTATCAAGGTATTATTTGTGCTATAATACGAAGTATAGATCCAAGACAATGTCATAAAAAGAGTTGATGTAGAAAAAGACGAAGACATTAAGCGTGCTGACGCAACGGATAAGGCAATCCCTCAATATAATAAACCTAAGAAGGCAAACAATGCAAATGTCCTGCCAGAAGGTGAGATGTTCTCAATTATATCTTATTTCTTTATATTTGGGAATTAATTAATTATAATATAAATATTTTTTCTGCAGATTATGAGTGTACACAAGAAGATGTTCAGGTAATTGAATACATGAAACGGAAACATATGGATGATTTACTCATCCAAATCAATGATGCTTGGGTAAATAGAGATGATATGAATTGCCTTTTCCATGATCATGAACACGTCAATGGTGGTGTAAGCATGTTTAACACTGCTTTTAAATTAATTAGCTGATGTCCATGTGGAAAATATGGTAATTTTTTATTTGACAAATTAATAAATTGCAGGTCATAAGTGCGTATATCCATTTGATAAGGCATGAAGAACACCTACTTCATAGAGAAGGTGGAGATGTTTATTGTAACACCTCTGGTGTTTTGACCTAGAACTAAAACTTGACATGTCATCATATGCATTGCAAAGCATTCATGAAGAAGAAAATTTGAAATGCATTCACTAAATAAGATTTGTTTCATAAGTTGTTATTTTATGTGATGCAATGTGATTCAAAACGTTAAACAAAGATCATGACCACAAGGGTCAAATTTCATGTGATCATGTGAGACCATGTGTCATTTGACTCAAATAACCCTAACGGGCCATGTTACTGGTCAAAATTCAAATTTAAGAAAAAAGGAAAAACAAATCAAATTTGAATTCAACTTTAAATTATAAAAGTCCTTTTTGCCCCTTTTGGATATTTCAAAATCCATTTGGAATTTGGGGTTGTGACAAAAAGCAAAGTTGGAGCTTATTTTATGTGGATCAACTTTGGTATTCAAAGTTTTTCAAGTTTACATATAAAATTTGGAGTAATTTTGAAATGATTCAAATACTCAAATGCACCCCAAATTCAAATTTCAAAATGGAGGCAGAATTTGAAAATGTTCCTTGAAGCAAAGTTGTAGAGCTTGAAAAGTTGAGCAACTTTCATTTTTGGAGATTTTCAACTTCTTTAGAATATTTGTGAGTAAT